TACTGCCTGGCAGTAAGTATGAGAAATCACTAGGACTAAGAAGATGTGAAATACTAAGCAGACAAAATTCTCTGGAAATAAAATTGTTATGCTTAATTTCATTTCCCTTTTTCTTCTTCTTCAAAAAAGAAAACATCTAGTATAATGTCCTATTATGAAATTGATTTACAAAGGTCAGATTCCAGTGCTTATGTATTTTTCATTACTAGCACATTATTGATTACCTTCTACATAGGAATGTACTATGTGTGGTGCAAAGGGGTTATAACAGCAAAAGTCCTGTTAATTTTTATAAGCACTACAGAAACAAGTGCAAGACCAGGACTTGTGCATTTCTGAAGTAATACCCTTGAAGTCTGTTACTCTTTGGTTTATACTAGTAATTCATCTACATCAGTGGCTCTCAATTTTTTTTTACACTTGAGGCACCCCTTAGAAATGTTCTTAGTTTTCATTCTTTTTTTTTTGCCTACAGAAAACAGAGCAGTTTTTTTTTTGTTGCAAAGAACTTAGAAAGACCACAGCTATGGATTTCTATTTGAATGGATTTACCGTGTGAATCATGTTGTAAACCTAACAGTGCTAACCTTTTGTGGCACCCATAGTACTCTGGATTAGAATCACCGATCTACATATAGGTCGTAAAAAAAGAAGTTTTTTATATTGGGGAAATTACAAAGTCTGGGAGATTAAAGGTTAAAACTGTAATAAAATTGAATCTGAAGAGATTCATGGTTTCCTGTTCTGTAGGCAGCCTTTAATACACTTGACACCTTTCCCCCCTGCCCCTCCACTTTTCTGGGTCTTGTAGGTCTCCCTTGATCCTGTGCTAGGCCCTGGGACAAGAACCTCATTTGTTCCTGGGTAGAGCCAACTAAGTTTCATTTCCCAGTTGGTGACCTAACTTGCTATTTGCTATCTCAACTTCTTTTGAAACTATATATCTGAGGCTGTTGAATCTCTCTTCCTCTCCCTCCCTTGATTCCTTAATAATCATGGAATCATATAAAATTAGGGCTAGAAGGGACCTCAGGAGGTTATCTAGTGAACCCCCTGCTCAAAGCAGGACCATCCCCAACTAGATCGTCCCAGCCAAAGCTTTGTCTAGCTGGATCTTAAAAACCTCTGACAGTGGAGATTCCATCATCTTCTTGGATAACCTGTTCCAGTGTTTTACTATCCTAGTGAGAAAATTCTTCCTAATATCTAACCTAAACTACTGTTGCTCCTTGTTCTCTCACCTGCCACCACTGAGAACAGTATCCATCCTCTTTAGCACCCCCATTCTGGTAGTTGAAGGTTGTTATTAAATCCCTTCTGAGTCTTCACTAGACTAAATAAACCCTGTTCCCTCAGCCTCTCCTCAGAAGTCACATGTCTTAACCCCTTCACAATTTTTGTTGTCCTCCACTGGTCCATATCCTTTCTGTAGTGAGGGGCCCAAAACTGGACACAGTACTCCAGATGTAGCCTCACTAGTGCTGAATAGAGGGGAATAATCACTTCCCTTGCCCTGCTGGCAAAACTACCAATGCAGCCCAATATGTCATTAGCCTTCTTGGCAACAAGGGCACATTGTTGGTTCATATCCAGCTTATTGTCCACTGTAACCCCCAGGTCCTTTTCTGCAGAGCTGCTGCCCAGCCAGCCATCCCCCAGCCTGTACTTGATGCATGGGATTGTTCCATCCTAAGTGCAGCGCTTTGCACTTGTCCTTGTTGAACCTCACGAGATTCCTTTTGGCCCAATCCTCCAATTTGTCTAGGTCACTCTGAATCCTAGCCCTACCTTTCTGTGTATCTACTACTCCCCCGACCTTGGTGTCATCTGCAAACTTGCCAATTATACACTCCCTGCCATCTTCCAAGTCATTGATGAAGATACTGAACAAAAATTGACCCTGGGGCACTCCACTTGATACCAGCTGTCAATTAGACATTGAGCCCATTGATTACTCTCAGGTGGATGCTCCAGCCAGTTTTCTATCTACCTTACTGTCCATTCATCCAACCCATACTTCCTTAGCTTGCTTGCAAGAATGTTGTGAGAGAACGTATCAAAAGCCTTGCTAAAATCAAGGTATATCACATCCACTGGTCTAGTATCCACAGAGCCAGTTGTCTCATCATAGAAAGCAATCTGGTTTTTCAGGCATGGCTTGGCCTTAGTGAATCCATGCTAACTGTTTCTAATCACCTTCTCCAAGTGGTTTGAGATGGATTCCTTGAGGATCTGCTCCATGATTTTTCTGGGGAATGAGGTGAGGCTGGCTGGTCTGTAGTTCCCTGGAGCCTCCTTTTTCTTTCTTAAATATGAGCATGATAGTTGCCCTTTTCCAATCATCCAGGACCTCTCCCAATTGCCATGAGTTTTCAAAGATGATGGTCAGCAGCTCTGCAATCACAGCCAACCCCCTTGGCACACTAGGGTGTATCCCATCCAGCCCCATGGACTTGTATATGTCCAGCTTTTCTGTGTAGTCCCTAACTTGTTCTTTCACCAATTGGCTGCTCACGTCGTCCCCAAACAGTGCTGCTTGGTGCAGTAGTTTGGAAGCTGACTTTGCCTGTGAAGGCAGGTGAAAAAGGCATTGAGCACTTCAGCCTTTTCCCCATCTTCTGTCACAAGGTTGCCTCCCCCATTCAGTAAGGGACCCAGGCTTTCCCTCACCTTCTTCTTGTTACTCACATATTTGTAGAAACCCTTCTTGATACCCTTCAGGTCCCTTCTTAGCTGCAACTCCAGTTGCACTTTGGCCTTCCTGACTTCATCCCAGCATTCCCAAGCAATGCTCTTATACTCTCCCATTTTTACTTTCTCCTTTCACATACCTTGATGCTGTCAGGTATGCAACAGGGGGGACGGGTGGATTGGTGCACCTGATGTGGAGGGCTCCAACACACCTGCTCCCTCTCCAGCACAGGCTGGGTAAACCCCAGCCCAGATCTCCCTCTCCTCCTTTCTCCCACCTTGCATCCTGCAGACAGCACCAGAGCTATGAGGAAGGGGCTAGGGGAGAGAGGTTGCAGACAGGCAGCGGCTCCTGAATTAGGTCCAAAGTGGAGTTTGATACATCTGTTGGGTCGAGGGAGGGTTTGCTGTAACTCACTGCTTTCTGTGAAGCAGGGAGCTACACATCTGTTAGTGCCCTTAAAAACCACTAAGCCTCACATCAGTTCTGGCTAAAACAATATGAAACTGATGAAGAATAAAACAACAGGAATAGAGGGTTTGGGGGTTTTTTACAAGCAAACCTGGCTCGTTTTATTGAGATTGTAAATGTGGCTGGTGAAAGGACTGTGTAGATATCCTAGATGTCTTAAGAAGGTATTTGATTTAATACTAAACTAAGTTCTGATTTTTTAAAAAGTCTACACTCAGTAAATCATGCAAGTAGAATATGAGTTGGCTGACAGTTTTGGGTTTTTTTGGAAAACGTTTCCCTTTGGCAACTAATCATCGAATGGGGATCTTTCCAATGGTGTTCCATAAGGGTTCATATCAAGCCTAATACCGTTCAACATTCAGATCAATTATCTGGAAATAAATATGAATTATTTGTGTTATGTGTAAGGGTTATTGACAGAGCTTAGCAAAATAGTAAATAACAATGAGAAGAGAGCACTCAGGCTTGGTTGGTAACTTCAGCCCATCTAGCCAAAATAATTTAATATGGACAAATGCAAAGTCATACACTGAGGGGAAAGGAATTCAGGCATTATGTACAGGATAAGGAGTTGTCATGCTGCCACAAGTCCATCAGATCAAAACTAATGCTTTGTGGCATGGACATTTTAATTATGCCTTATAGCCATGATATAGTAGCGTCAAAATAAACACTTGCAGCATTGGGTGCTTGCCTTTCTTTGTTTAAATGGGAACTTCCCAAAAGGCAGAAGCAGCTTTTGGAATGGCTTCAAAATTTAGGTCTGTAAAACTTAACTTGGACGGTAGAGTGAATGGAAGATGCTGACTCTGGGGGGTTTAGTATTTAGCTGTGATGGCATATTTTAAGATAAAAGGAAGAAGTGTCCTACATATGCTTTGATTTAATAATGTCTAGAAATGTTTTTAAAACTTGGTTAGCTCCTTTCTGAATCTATCTCTCTCTAACATAGCTGACAAATCATTTGACATTTGCAAAGTAGTTGATTTATTTGTTTTGTTTTTCCCCAGCTCTCCACCCTACATTAAACTGGATTGTCTTGGTGAGATGATTAGGCAGAGGAAGGGTGTATGTTTAGCAGACCATTTTTATTGTGTGGATATATCTCATCTGGATCTTTTTTCCCATCACTTATCAAGAGTGAGGTTTCATCTGTATTTGAAAAATTACACTACGTTAGCTAAATGTTTTTTAAATAGACCTAGCTAGATGGAGGTAAACCTATAATATAGTCAAATTTAAATGCATTAAATCATTCGTAAATCATTTGAGCTTCCTTAGTCAAAGGCTGAGTCCAGGATGGGCTCTGAGCATTAGTTAATGCTGACCAGGTTTAGAAAAAGGCACTGCTAGCCTCTTCCAGTCCAGATATTTTACCCAATCTTACCTTTGCTTTTTACACTATATAAAACAGTGGGGCCTTTTTGGCGACCATGCCACAAATTAGCCCTGCACCCTTCCCAAGTACCACTCTGACCCACTTCTTTGCCCAATCTGCAGCTCTTTCTGCTCTGTACTCTGTGCTTATGCCCAATCTTCTGCTCTGCTTTCTGCTTCCTACCCTGTGCACCCTCCCTGATCTCCTTCTCAGCCTTCTGTTTTTGTGTTTCCTGTCACATCCCCCTTTGTGTGCCACGTGCAGATGCTGTTGGTGCCACTTCAGGGTGGTATGGAAATACCTTGTTACAATTGGACTTAGTTATTCCAGAAACATATAACTTGAGAAAATAAAGAAAAAAAAAGAAACAAATACAAATATTAAAATTGTGTAGTTTTCTTTTTTTAAATGAGTTATTGACCTTTAGTAAACCATTTAAAATGTTATAAAAATGTACAACTTTTTATTTAATCCTTTATTTTAAATGAGAAAATTTATTACAGATTATGGTATGGTTACAGCAATTTTGTGCCCCCTACAATTGCTGTATTTTTTAAAAATAGCATTTCTCCTCCAAAAAAGTAAAATGTGTCACTTATGAGATAGTCACAAACTTAGTATTTTACCCTTTTACTAGAGCAAAAATAAAAAAGAATGGAGTCTTCACATGCCTAAGAACTTATATTCATATATTCTTTTCTTTCACTGGAGTTGCTCATTATATAGGTTTGTATATTTTACCTATTACAAATAAATATTTCAGGTATCAATCATTGTGCATGATCATAAAATGAAAATACACCATGTAAAGTCCTTTACAGGTTTGATATTGCTTTTCACTTAACACATTTGTAGAAATCTGTTGATAGATGATCTTTGTCTTTCCAAACTCAGTGCAGCACAGATTTTGACCTATCCTTCTTGGTCACTAGACTCTCATTTTCAGTTCTATAAAGAAGTAACACATTGGTAAATAGGTTTTAGTTTCTTCAATTATTCATTAATGTATTTCAATAAAAACCATAGAAACATTTTTATAATTTAAAAGCTGGACAGATTGCTCTATTGTTACCATAGTTACTTGAATCTAAGAGTACTCTGAATATAAAATGACTCCCAATAATTTGGTTCTATATATGGAAAAATTATATATTTTTTTTAAATTCCAGGTATAGAATCTGTTTATTGGAGGTTTGCCTTGAATTTGTCTCCCTCCCACTGCTACAACAGAGAAAACTAATCTTGGGGGATCAAGTGGCTCCTCTGCCCTCTGCCCCCTGAACTTTTTGCCCCCGTAGCCCCTTCCCCTTGCCCCCCCACCCCCCTGC